GTTTGTTTGTTTGTTATATAATCGTTATAGTGTATACACCCTATTTGTTCCTAGACATATATATTTAAGTGGAGCGTCAATGTCAACTTTTGGCGCCATTCACAAACTATTTATGTACAGTCTGCTCCTGACATGAAATCTTGATGAAAATCAACAACATTTGTTTATCAAAACATAAAAGCCAATGTCAGATACTGTCTGCACGATTCAAATTATGTTGAAATTCAAGAAACATTTTGTAAAATTTACAATGAATTTTTGGTGGGAAAAATATCTGGCGGTTGAGGGGTTAATATATCTTTCAATTTTATTCATGTGTGAATAGAAGTTTACGTCACAGTATTTAAAATAAAAGGGCGAGTACAATTGAATTGCGACGTATTTTCTCAATTATAACTCAATACAGGATATCCTTCACTCGTTTTAGCAATATATTGTGCAATGATATATTATTATTTTTCGCTTGCCAGTAACTATGTCTTCTTTTTAGTATTTTTATAAAGTCACCTCTGTTTGGGAATTGTCTTTGGTTTTAAAGGTATATGTTTATTTATACGCGTTGTATGCATTGCATGGGACCCACATTGGACAAAGACCGGTGTGACCACTGCTATTTAAAGCGGGGGAGTCGTCACCTGCGCATGCGTCAGTTGGTCATAGCGTGTCATTGTTTACAATCAAGCGTCTACCCATGAGCCTTTGCGTTTTTAGCGTGTGTTGTTATCGTCGCTTGGGACTCAATTCCCGCGCGTGCGCAGGTGACGACCTTCCCGCTTTAAGGTAATAGCATAATAACTTGCTTACAGTTTTGTAATAGTTTTCACTTTAACTTAACAGGTAAACGCTTTTAAATGGAAATTCTGGTTAATAAATTGTAAACCAAAGGGAATAATATTGCAGTTATACTACTCTTTGTCTCGTGCTTATTGTTATGATGTTCATTGATAGTTAATGGGCGGTTATGAGGACACTAAGTGTTGGTGAAGGCCCATTTAGGGTCGCGAGGTTCTAGTAAACCGTAAACGTGCGAGGACCGTTGGGCCAATGACGTTTGCGAGAACCACAAATCACCTGCTTAGCTCATTCAGTAGAGTGATCTGGAAATCTCTGATTCGAATTATATTCAAAAGAAATGAATTACATGTATGTATTTAATTATTATAACAGTATGAAGTGATAACAGCTCGTACTCACATTTGTAGTCCAAATTTAGGGGCATTTGACACTGCATGTACAAATGTCGGGAAGTAATTTGTGCTGTATGCTCGAGATGCCGCCCTTAATGGCACTGGGCTTCCCAGTCATTAGACGAGTAACTGGGTGCTGTAAACCAATAAATTGTTTGACGTCATCATCGGTACTTAAGGTTTGACTGTGTGTTCTTTTGTGCCCTTGCTCCATACTTTGGCTGGCGGGGAGTGTCAATGCTAATAAGGTGACCCGACCCCTGGTGAGTAGATCCACATTCAACATCAAAGTCTGAAGTCCAAAACTTAAGGAAACTATGTGATACCATTGCTAAGGTGGACTTTCGATGTTTCAGCGTGTGAATTAGTGTCAACGACTGCATACCATTAGCCTGGGTGTGTAGCACTACTGGTTGCTGTATTGTCTTTTTATCAATCGCCACGACGTGATACTCATCAGGAAATTCACTAGTTAGTCCTTGGCTTTCAGTTATGCTTGTCCTGGCCAGTTTATTATTTGTTATTTTACAAATATATCTGTGAATAGTATTGTCAATTAATGCTGTCTCTCCCTCTTATCACACAGTTACCAACCTTGCTGCGGTGTGTGTAGTGCATGTTTACGTCACCTTCAACAATTGTGTATCAACGTTGGTGTGTGATGAATGCCGCGTTTGACAAACAATTGCAGGGGTGGGCGATATTGCCGGAGATGTGTAACCATACCGAGCATAATTGCTGTTATAAACTATGGTTTCACTTAGTTCATGTGTGGCGTAGTATGTGTAAGAATGAGCGCTGTGCACTCCTGTCTCTATATGTATATAATTGTACTACACTATATTGGTGTCCATCAGGTTAATTATTGCTGTGTTACACGAATTGTGTAACTCGTGGTAAAAGTTCATCGGCATCAAGTACCGGACTGATGGTTCAGTGTCCAACCTCAGGAGGCTACAAAAAACCAAGGTTTCGATTGACACCATCAATGACTTCCTATTTGCTGATGATTGCGCACTCAATGCTGCCACTGAAGCTGATATGTAACACAGCATTGGCCTGTTCCCTGACGCCTGCAACAACTTTGGCCTTACCATTAGCACTAAAAAGACTGAGGTAATGCATCATCCAGCTCTAGGAAAGCCCTATTGTTGAACCTAACATCACTATCAACAGGCAGCGACTGAGCGCAGTGGACAAGTTCAGATACCCTGGTAGCACACTTTCTAGAAATTTGGTCATTGACGACGAAGTCAACGCCAGACTCGCTAAAGCGAGTGCCGCCTTCGACAGGCTACACAAGCATGTTTGGAACAGGAGAGGGATCACCACGGAGACAAAGATCAAGGTGTATCGAGCTGTTGTTCTCACTATGTTGCTCTACAGCTGTGAAGCCTGGACAGTCTATCAGCGTCATGCCAGGAAGATGAACCACTTTCACACCACCCACCTCCCCACCTCAGAAAACTTCTTGGCATAAAGTGGCAAGACAGAATCCCAGTCTCTGAGGTCCTAACACGTGCTGACCTGCCTAGCAATCACACCATCTCCATGCAGTCTCAGCTTCGCTGGGCAGGACACGTAGCTCGCATGCCAGATGAGCGTCTCCAAAAAGACTTCTGTTTGACGAGCTACAGCAGGGAAAACGCTCCCAAGGTGGCCAGAAGAAGCGTTTCAGGGACACACTAAAAGCCGAACTGAAGACTTTCAACATGGGAGCAATAGACTCAAGACAGAGGAACATGGCGATCAGCTGCTCACAAGGAAGCTAAAGTATGCAAGGCCAACACGATTGCTGCTGCTAAAGACCGCAGACCGGCCAACAACAGGCTCAACAACACTGTAGCAGCTGCTACCATTCCCTGTCCGCACTGCCAAGAGACTCTTCCGAGTGCAGATTGGCCCCACCAGCCACCTGCGGACCCTCAGAGCAAGTTTACCCCGACCCTAGGATGACTAGATTGTATGCATTTTGAACTGTTACACAGGCAAATTAATGTGTGGTTACAGTTGCAACTACACATTAATTCGTCTGTAGTATCTGTCTGTGAGGTTGGGATTTTTCCCCTGTGATATTGTCGAGTAAATACAGGCTAAAATGTGTAAAGTGCCTAGAATGGGCAAACACTAAAATCCGTTAGTTGCTAAATTACAGATTCCGAGCGACAAATTGGTTTAACTAGGGAGACATTAAAGAATTGGGTGGCGGCTCAATATACGTAATAACTTGAAGAAGACAGAATCAAATTAACATAGAAGGGAATATAATAAAGTGAACCTTCAAAAAGACATTTATCCAGATTTCCAGACAACTACCACTTCAACGTGAATACCACACACAAATACCATGACATGCATTCACCATCTCAACCTACTTGACATTTAAGGGACGGTGATCGTCACACTGCGTCCTGTTCGATATGGGGCTCATAGCAACGTACACAATGCGTGCAAAATACATTGTTTACATGAAATTCGAAGAACTAGAACCGCTCACTAAAGCCAGGCTGACACTTGCACGACTTTTGGCCACGATTTTGTCGTGGCAAGTCGTGCCATTTTGGGGCACGAACTGGGAGGCTCCCGCACTGTTTACGACTTGTTCACGCATAGTTCACAACAAGTTCACGACGAGTTCACGAATAGTTCACGAATGCGTGCCCGTCAGTGTCCACATTGACACGAACTGGCACGACGAGTTCACACATAGTTTGCGCATAGTTTACGCACTTCCCGCATTGGCACGACGAGTTTGCGCAATTCGGACGGTGTCGTGCCGACTTGGGCACGCCATATAAAAAGGGGGCCTCCCCAACCCCTGGTCATTTTTAGATTGGCTGTGGAAGAGACAACATGCTGAATGTCAGAGACACAATCATTGCAGGGAAGAGAAGATGCCTATACCTGGCAGCTGCTCTAGCCATTGTTGAAGAGCAGCAGCTTCTGGCCTTCTCTGCGTTGCTCTTCTTTGTGTCTGATTTATTTTAGGCATGTTGTCTCTTCGCTGGCGATCTCTGGAATGGCGAGCAGTGTCCAAGAAGCCCTGCACCGACTCGAGCGCCACTGTCGCGCAGTAGTCGTGAACTGCTCGTGAACTCGTCGTAAACTGCTCGTGAACTTGTCGTGAACTGCTCGTGTCATGCGCAAACTGTTCGTGAAGTGCGTAAACTAGTCGTGAACTGCTCGTGCCTCAATGCGTGAAGTACACGTGACCGTGTCAGTGGGAAGGCAGCCACGCTGCGACGCGCACCAATTCGTGAACATGTCTTGAATTACTCGTGAACTCGACGTGAGCTGTTCGTGAACTATTCGTGACAGTCGTGGCATGGCGCGCACTGGCACGCATCCTCCCGCATCGTCCCGACGAGTTCACGAACAGTTTGCGCATAGTTCACGACCCGGTCGCTAAATTTTGTCGTGACCAAAATTTTGAACATTTCAAAATTCTTGTCCCGACATGGCACGCAGTCACGACGTGTCACGACGTGTTTACGCACACTTCACGCCAGTTCACGACTAGTTTGCGCAATGCGTGACACAAAATCGTGCAAGTGTCAGGCTGGCTTAACAAGGGCATAGTCAATTGACAAAATATGATTGTGTTAAGAGGCACAGGTTTGTTATTCGAAACAATTTTGTATATTCCTCACAGTTCAATGTTAGCATTGTACTTGTGGTACATGGAAATGAGTTCTTGCAGCTGAGCTAGACCTCTTTTTGATGTGTTGATATGCAATGTTTTTGGACTGGTAACTATACGATAAGAGGGCGAGCGAACATTCAATACAATTCACAGATATATTTGTAAAATATCACAGACATAAACTGGCCAGAAAATAATAGATCTATAAATTAACAAGCATGGTGTAATTAGTGAGAGTCTATGAATATCTGGTGAATTTCCTGATGAGTGTCAAGTCGCGGCGAGTGATAGAATACAACAGACAGCGGTTTTGGATATCCAGGACAATGACATGCAAAAGGTGACTAGAGTTCACATGTAGTAGAATGTGGTTCCACTTGCTAGAGGTCGTGGTTGCCCGGTTAGCATAGATTCTCCCGCCAGTCAAAATCTGTAGCAAGAACACAAAGGAACATTCGGTCGAAGCATGAGTATCAGTGATGATGTCACACAGTTTATTGTGTCAAACGTTATTTGATTTACAACACCCGTACATTCATAACCCAGGTACTTATCCAATGACTGGGAAGTCCAGTGTGCATTAGGGGCGACATCTGGGGCACGTAGCAATACTTAATTTCAGACTTTTGTATGTGTAGTGTCAAATTTGGGCTACAAATCCTACCTCTAAGTACGGGCTGTTATCACTTTACACTGTTAAAATAATTACATAATTAAATCGTGTACAACACCTCGTTACATTGACAAAGCGGCACAGTATCAACCAATTCAAAATACAAAAATAAATCTCTCGTGTACAATGTGTAATTCATTTCTTAGTTCTTCCTCACCTATTGAAAAAGTTGTTCAATGAAGGTTTTCGAACCTAAAACATCAACAACAGCAGATATTTTTCGAGCTATTGATCGATTGGTAACGGTTTAGTTTGGACAACATATGGCTAATTATTAACATTCCAATGAAAATTCCTGCTGAATTTCTACAAAAATTAATTAAAAACGAAGAGCACAATTTTTTTAAATTTCATATTCAGATTTACATTTGTACTAACATAACTTTAGTGATTATATTTCAATGATATATTCATCTCAACTATTTTCTGTTTTATACCTAGATCCGTACCTTGAATTTTCTCTCTTGTTTGACATAGACCTCAGGTTTTTTAAAGAATATGGCCAGTGTATTTAATTTTACCGTTCACAACTTCACATCAAAATCCTACTTTTTGGGTAAACATTCGTCTGTAGTACAATTAAGTTTTAAAGAGACATTGTTCGCTTTCGGCCAAACTATTGAATCCAAGTACCTTTCATGTGGTGTATTACATGATGAATTCGCTGCAATCAATATTTGGGGGGGGGGGCGTTTAGTGGAAAAATGAGGTAATTGCAAACCTACCCGAAACTGGGCGAATACCCACTTTTTTCTTTCCCATACAAGAAGTCGTACAAACGAAGTCTCAATAATGTCACCTACGGGTGGCGCCTAGAATCAATCTAAAGCTGATCTATTAATTCTGTCAGTTCAGTTATAATATTTGTTCATGATCGGGTACTCATTGATATACATATCCCCGATTTACCAACAAATTAGTTCCATCAGAAATGTTGGCATTCGATGTCAGAACGACGACGACGAACGACAATGCCATGAACATCTGAATGGGATATATTGTGTGTTATGGAACTCGTGGCCAAACGCAGCATTGCAGTTTTATTAGGGTATGTCTTGACGGCTGTCATGACGACGCAACGGCCTTATGAATGCACATGTTATGTACCGCAGACTTTGCTTTCGGAAAAGTTTGGATTTCAGGAGAAAACAGTCAAATGAGCTGTGGCTATTTTATTTGTCTCTTGTCACGTCCAAATACGTCTTAAAATGCAAGTAAACTACAGCGGGTTTTTTTTCTGAGTTACCAAATTAAAATAAAATGTCACCTGAGAAGCACATGTTTTGTTTTTGTTGTATTTTATTATTTTCTGGTACTTTAACGAGCAATTAAACGGCAGAATCATTATAAAATGTCGTCGCCATTTTCTTTGCTTGTTGTTATTGTATATATTTTCATGGAAGGTAATATTACCTTCCACGTGACGGTTGTAATCAATACAAAACTGATAATTTGAATATTTGCGTTTGGTAATCCCCCGATAAACCCGTTAAGTATTATCAGTTGAATTGTCGGTTGAAGACAACAAAAGCATCAAAGGGTGTTCACTCTGCTTGTGATTGTAAGTACATGTTCGTATCAATTTTGTCTCTGTCCATAATCGTATCATTTGACATCGCTGGTTGCCCACGCAATCTGATTAAATAGGTATATTGTATGACGTGTATTTTTTTTAAATGTATATTTTTTATTTTATTAGTACTATATTTTGTTATTATTTTATATGTTATATTACTTGCATCTCATTAGCTCCGCTGTCGACGAAGTCGAGCGGAGCTTATAGTATTACTGATTGTCCGTCGTTTGTCGTCGTCGTCGTCGCCGCCGTCATCAACTTTACATTTTCGACTTCTACTTAAAAACCACAAACTGTATAGTTGTGAAACTTTCTAGGAAGGTACCTTGGGTGGTTCTCTCTCAGATTTGTTCATTTCGTGTGGATATGTTCAATTGTCTTATTTATAGCGAATATTTTTGTCATTTTTGGTCAAAAATGCTATTTTCGACTTCTTCTTGAAAACCACTAGCCCAAATTCTTTGATACTTGGTATGTAGGTACCTTGGGTGGACCTCTCTCAGATTTGTCCATTTCGTGATGATATCTTCATTTCTCTAATTTTGATGAATATTTTTGTAATTTTTAGTAAAAAAATTATATTTTTGACTTCTCCTTGAAAACTGCTAGTCTGATTACTTTGATATTGTATATGTAGGTACATCAGGTGGACCTCTGTCAGATTTGTTGATTTTGTGACAATATTTTCAATTCTCTAATTTTGATGAATATTTTTGTAATTTTTGGTCAAAAACGTTATTTTCAACTTCTTCTTGAAAACTGCTAATCCGATTGCTTTGTAACTTTATTTGTAGGTACCTTGGGTGAATCTCTGTTTGGTAATTTCATGACGATATCTTCAAATCTCTAATTTTAGTGAATATTTGTGTCATTTTTCGTAAAAATGTTATTTTCAACTTCTTGTTGAAAACCTCTAACCTGATTGCTTTGTAAATGTATTTGTAGGTATTTGTACCTTGGGTGGATCTCAGTCAGATTTGTTAAATTTCATGACGATATCTTCAATTCTCTCATTTTAGTGAATATTTTGTCATATTTGGTAAAAAATGTTATTTTCAACTTGTTCTAGAAAACCTCTAATCTGATTGCTTTATAACTTTATTTGTGGGTACCCTGGGTGGACCTATATCAGATTTGTTCACTTCCTGTCAACATCTTCAATTCTCTATTTTTAGCAAATATTTTCGTCATTTTTCATCAAAAAACATATTTTTGACTTGTCCTTCAAAACCAGTAGTCCAAATTCTTTGATACTTGTACACATGCAGCTTGGGTAGACCTCTATTAGATTTGTCCATTTCGTAAAGATATCTTCAATTCTCTACTTTTAGTGAAATATTCTCTGCAACAAAATCAAGAAAGTTGGTGTCTTGGAATATTAAAGCAGCTAGCATTAAGTTTAAATTGCTTTTTAGTCATTGCTTTCAGAGCATGCATCACAAACAGCGGAGCTATATCAGCCGACAGGCTGCTAGTTTTCTATTTCTAATTCAAAACGTTGGAAACAATTGCAAGGAAGAATAAAATATAGTAAATGAAAAATATATAAATGAAAAAAATGAAAAAACAAAGCTCGAACTACGATCTTGTTTTAATAAGATTAATTGTTTACAATATAGTATATAGTTTAATATCTATTACTGGTAGGTCGATTAATAACCACGCTACATCCCCGAAAACCAATTGCAATTGCACCAGACACCTTCAGTGCAGAAATAGTGACCATTGTTTTGAAAGGTGTGATTGAAAATGAAATTCCGCCTTTTTAAACCAATCGTTTCATTCTATGAATATAAACCACGATTAAAAAAAAAAAACCACCCGATTCCACAAATTACAAATTTAATTTACACATTAATATTGATTATATAATAACAATGGCATGCAAGGAATGGGAATACAAAAAACAAAGAAAGACTCCGTTGTCATTAAGGATATCATATCAAAATGACCTCATTTCTCATCTACACAAGTCATCATCTGGGAAGATAAATAGCTTTATAAAGTTTTGAATTCCAGCGGAGACCATGGTGAAACCCATTCGTGTTATTT